CTTGGAGAGGGACATCATGCTTGGTAGGGTGGAGGGACAGCGCAGGAGGGGAAGGCCCTCTATGAGGTGGATTGATTCAGTGACTGGGATAATCGGGATGGGAGTGTCAGAGACAGTGCAGTTGGCACAGGACAGAGCAGAGTTTAGGGCTGTTGTGCATAGGATCGCTATGAGTCCCAAGCGACTCAATGGCACATAACAACAACAAACCTCTGGGATTGCAGTGCAGTGTCTTGCCACTAGGCCACCAGAGCTCCCTTGAGGTGTTTTGGTTTGTTTTTTTTTTAAAACAATTGATAATTTCAGAACAAATATTAGATTCAGGTTATTTTTTATTACTTTATTGTTAAGTTACAAAAAATGTCTGAATTCTTGACTCTAATGTTGTAAAACATTAGCATTTTGCTACAAAGGCTAAATATTGCTACATTTGCTTTGTCCTGTGGTTCTGTGTGTATATTTTGTGAGCTGTTGAATAGTAAATTGTTCTTAATCTTCAACAGCTCAGAATTTTCCCAGATGTGCTAATGATACCTTTTACACTCCAGAGAAGCCCCAAATTATATGTTCTGTTCATTGATCATATCTCTTCTGTCTTTTAGTCTAGAATTTGTCAGTTTTTCTAATACTATTAAGGATATAATTTCTACACACACCCAGTCTCTAGTAGTATATGGTATGTACTAACCCTTTTTCCATGTTGATTTTGAGGAATTTGTGACAAAATGATTGAATCAGGATCCTGATTTCAAATCCTGGTCCCATCTTAGAGTTTTTATAAAAGTTAAATTACTGTATACATACCTATTACTGAGTATAGTGCCTGACACAGGAGAAATTCTCAGCAGATGCTAACTGACTCAGTCACGTCGTTAAATGGCATTCCTAAGGTGCCTTTGGCAGACATCTGGGCAAAACCTGTTTTGATTCTAGCCTTCATTTCCTTCCCTTTCCCACCTTCTCTGCACACCGAGTGTCCAGAGCACTAAGGTACCTGGCCTGGGCTCCAATGTGGTTTGGATTAGAAAGCATTGTTTGAAAACACTGATTCCTCAAAATTGCCCTTGCATTGGTTGGTGATAGAGTTTTAATAGGCCTACAGATAGGACCAGTGAAGTGATATTTTTCATAAGTGTTAACTGTGCCCATTCCTTTATTATGAAATTATAAGATTGGTATTTGAACATCCTCTCTCCTGGCTTTGCTGAAATGCCCTTTTAGAAATACATATGATAGTGTGGTGGTTTGTTTGTGTGTTGGTTTTTTTTTTAAATTTTGCTGCACTTTTATATTCAATGTTCAATTTTATTTTTGGTGAAACTATACAGAACAAAAACTGCTCTCATTCAGTTTCTAGACATAATGTTTCTTGTTTTCTATTTGAATGTATTTTTTGTTGGTCACCATTGATTTGGAACCTACCCCTAGATGAGCCTCCAGCGGGTTTTCAGAGGCAGTAAATCACATGGGAAGAGATTGCCTATCCTTCTCCTCAGATTGGCAGCTCACTTCTTCACCACTAAACCACCAGAACACCTCGTTTAGCGTATTTTGTTGTTATGTGCCGTCGAGTTGCTTGCAACTCGTAGCAACCCTATGTACAACAGCCCTAAACACTGCTCTGTCCTGTGCCATTCGCACTGTCTCTGATACACCCATCCCGATTACCCCAGTCACTGAGTCAATCCACCTCATAGTTGGCCTTCCCCTCCTGCGATGTCCCTCCAGCCTACCAAGCATGATGTCCCTCTCCAAAGACCAGTCCCTCCTTACAACATATCCAAAGTATGTTAGACGGAGCCTCAGAATCCTTGCCTCCAAGGAACCGCCCGCTCTAACCCTTTCCAGGATGAATCTGTTTGTTTTCCTAGCAGTCCGTGGTACCCTCAATACTCTTCTCCAGCACCAAAGCTCAAAGGCATCAATTCTCCTTCTATCCTCCTTAGTCATTGTCCATAACAAGTGATAGCAAAGACCATGGCCTGTATCAGACGCACCTTGGTCTCCAAAGAGACACCATTGCTCTTCAGTACTTTGGAGAGGTTAAAAAAATGATTAATGACATAATTGTGTGCTTTTGAGCCAAAACCGATGCATAGCTGCCCCTCCAGCTGGTTTTCAGAGACAGTAAATTGTATGGAAGGAGACTGTCCATCCTTCTCCTTCTGAGTGCCTTTGAGATTGCAGAGTTGCTTCTTACCCCTAGGCCATCAGAGCTCCCTATTCAGTATATTTAGTAAGAAAAAATAAAGTGAATGACTGATAATTAGCCACCCTATTAATTCCCAGATACTTTAAAAGATTTTACTGGTCTATAATAATTAATAGACTTCTCTAAAGGATGTGTGTTTGGCACTGTGTATCTCATTTCATCTTTATGATTAATCCTGTGAGCTGTGCATCATTCTCTTCATCAACAGGGGAGAAATGGGAGGTCTATGAAGTGCTATAATCCAGTCCAGACACAGTTACCCAGCATTGAATCGGTACACCGAAATAAGAACAGAGACCTTTTTGGTTTTTTATTGTGATTTTAACAAAGGTTTACTGAAAGGTTTTGTTTTCATTCATTCTTTCTTACACATTTTCCTCCCTGCCCCACACATCCTCTTTTTGAGGTGTAGGGCCCCACAGCTGGGGTGCTTGGAACTGTGGTGCTTTAGCTCAAGATTGACAAATTCACAAGCGTGTCTGTCTCTTCCATTCAGTCAGTTTATGCTGAAGGTAAATGGTCATGCTCAGTGACCTTCTTCCTTCACTTTTGATGAGACTAGTCTTGTGGTAGGAGCAGCAAAAATCACTGTCCTTCCTCCAGACAGTAGTTATATTTGGACGGTTGGCAGGATTACCCTCATCTGGTGACTTCCTTCTCTTAGAAATGAAACTACCCTCTTATCCAAGTTAGTGATTCTGCAGCTTTTGGCTCCGGCTGCTTTCCAGGGAAAGAAAATTTGCTGCTGTATGAAATTAGTGGTTACCTAAGAATCGGAGAACTCCTGATGGGGCAGAGAAAATAAGACGTTTAAAGACTTAATACTAATGTGGGGTTAAAAGTTGAGCGCCAAGTCATGGATTGCTGATTTAGAGAAACTTTAGCTGCTTCACTGTGAGGTCCTGCACCATATGAGGTTTTCCTAAAAATACATAATCCAGGATCCCACTCTTAGTCCGCTGAATGAGATCTAAGGAACCCAGGAGTTTTGCCCCAAAACCCTCAGGGAGATCCTGACGGCCAGACTGTCTCCCGCCTGCTTATTGCAAGAAAACTGGACTCTCTGCCAGTCTTGGTAAGTAAAACACACTTAGGTTAAGGGTAGCTGTCCTGGGAACTTCCAGAGTTGCATTTTAAACTTGTGATCACAAGAACCGGAGGTGATATGTGAGCTTCCCAGGTCATTGCTAATCCCTTGTCTTCTGTAACTGTTGCCTCTTAACCAGGAGTTTTCTGATCAGAAGCCCCTTTCTGTAAATAGCTTGACGATAGAATTCTTTGTTTTATATGGAAAATAATTCCATGTAAAATAACTTTATGGAAATTTAATCAGCTGCTAATGGACAGCCTTTTATTATACATAGGGTCACTATGAGTCAGAATAGACCCCATAACTTCCAACAACAGTAGCAGTCCACCATTTCATTGTCTGTCTTTCTGTATACATGTTCCATCAGCGGCCCAACAAGAAGAATGGCTTGGGGAGTTGCTCTGGGGCCTTCTCCAAGCTCCTGACAGTTCTCTGTAAAGTCCTGACAGTCTGGTGTCTGATCCTTCGTAGTCTCCATTGTCTTCCTCATTGTTGTTCAGTACCATCAAATCAGAACTGACTCATAGCTGACCCTTTAGTGAGTTTTCAGAACCTGTAAATTACACAATCGATTGCCCATCTTTCTCCCAATTAGTAGCTGGTGGACTCAAACTGCCTATCTTTGGGTTGGCAGTATGGCAGCTCTTTACCACTAAGCCACCAATGCTCCCTTCTTCCTCACTATTTGTGTTCATCTGATTTGTCCATCTTTCTTAGTTCTTTACACATGCTGGCCTTATGCTGCTTGTATCCTCATTTTAGGCTTGGATGTTTGTAGACTCCCCCTAATTACATGCAGTTCTCCGTTCTCCATCAGTCTCCATCGGGTTAAGGTTTTTATCACAATCTGAAATGATCCTATTTGCTTGTTCTTTACCTGTGTCTTTGATTAAAATGCCTGCTCAGTGATTGCAGGCACCTGGTCTGCCTTGCTTGCTGGATTCCCACCCTCTCAAACATGTCTGGGTCATTACAGGAGGCATGCTGTGTCTTTTTCATCCTCACCCCACCTCTCCTGTAGGCCAGGCCCAACCTAGGCTTATGTAAATTCCTGAGCAGGCTTACAACTGTGGCAGTTTTCTGGAGCAAACAGAACTCAATAGCTCTGGCTGGGTGAGTTTTCCAAATCTGCAGTGCTCCTATAGGTTGGATTGACAGAATCCATTTGGAAGTGTCTGTCCCTAAGACTCAGCAAAGGGGGAGTGAGCTCTCCAGATTAAAATTAACATTATAGTCTCTTAAATGGTGAGGTTTTTGTCTTGAGATGTGAATAGTAACTTGAAAGTAATGGCATCTTTAATTGGGAAGACTTGAGACCTGTTGCCTCTTCTATCTCTGCTGGCGGTAGTCGGGATCAAAATATTGTAGTCTGGATGCACAGAGGTGGTGGTTTTGTAAGGCTGCAGGGCCACCGTGCCTTTGAGACGTCTTCCTAGGAGCTCCTTTGAGAATCTGCTGGCACTAATAGACCTTCTCCTCAGAAAAATGTACAAGCACCTGTGCACTTAATTTCGTATACGGTTCAGGGGAGTGCAAGGCCTTCCAAGTGCCCTCAGTGGGCACTCAGTTATGTTGGACATTTTGGTTGGTTCATCCGTCACAGATGGGCTGGGCTCTTCTGTGCCTGCCCCTTTCTGACTTGGTCTCCTGTCTTCTGTGCCCTCTCTTGTTTGTATAACAACCCGCTGGACCCCTCAGGCCCAGAAGAGGCGATATTCTCCTGGAGTCCAGGTACTCAATTGTTGACCTACTATGGCCATCTGTCATTCCCTTGTGTCCACCCAGCATATGCTGCTGTTTGGAATCCATGTGGCTGTTGTCTTAAAGAGTCATCAGTGTCTGATCTCCTCTGCATCTCCACCTTGCATGTTGACTGTCCAGGACAGTGGGTGCTCACCAGAGTAGCCGCATGCCTCGTGTTACTCCGTCTCTCATCCCTGCCTCAGCACTTCCTTACCACTGGGCTTGTTCTGGAATGGCTAACCTGACATTTCTCAGGGATGTTTCCTTAATCTTTCTGTTAGAGAGGAAGGACCACTGAAGTAGATGAGAAGATGGCTGGGATATGAGGGAACTTGCATATCTGTCATGTTGGGAATACCATTTCCTGAGGAGTTATGGGAAGAAATTATGTGTGGATGAAACCCCTGAGCGATGCAGCCAGTTAACACGCTTAGCTGCTAACCAAAAGGCCAGAACTTTAAGTCCTTCCAGAAGTTCATCCAAAGAAGACCTGGTGATAAAAAATCAGCTATTGAAAAGCACAGGGCTGCTTTGACACACACATGGGTTACCATGAGTCAGAATCGGCATGTTGTGAACTAGGGTTTGTGTGTATGAGGTGTAAGTGGGCTGAAGATCTCTTGACTAAAAACTGTCAAGGCTGCATAACCCGATCCAGCAGCCTGAGTCCCAATCCATTTAGCATCACATTGTTCATAGTGTTTTAGAATTTTGAGGAGAACATGTTTGGAAGAACCGATAGTTCTGAATACCTGCTGTGTGCCAAGTGCTGACCCTGAGAGAGAGGCAGAGCTGGTGTGGAGAAGGAAAAAAACAGCACAATAAATGATTGTGTTTCCTTTAAGATGCTTGTGTGGTAGGTGAGGAGATGGGTACCTTTTCATATAAAGAAATCACCGGTCTTGGGCAGTATGCAAGCACCCCATGGTGATGTGTGAGAAATATTCCAGAATCTTAGCAATGCCATTTCAGATCCATCCCAAATTGGAAACAAGGAGAGTTACTAAGGGCAAGTAAGAGTCCCCTCTTGGGTTGTCCAGTTCCTGCTTTGTTGTTTGAATGTAAAGTCATGTCATTAGGTGCCATGGAGTCAAAGACAACTAACAGTGACTCTGTGAACAACAGGCCTGAACCCTGTCCTATCTTGTGCCATCCTCATCATCTCTGACACATTTGAGCCCATTGCTGCAGTCCCTGTGTTCATGTCATTGAGGGTCGCTCTTTCTTTCTCTGGCCCTCCAAGCATGATAGTGCAGCCAGAGTGTTCCCAAGAGGCAAGGGTGGTGACGCTTTCTCTCACATACTTGGAGCATGTTGCTGGGAGAGGCTCCTCCTTGGAAAGGGACATCACAGGGTTTTGGGGGCTGCTATAATGAAGTAGAATGGTGGCTAGTGTGCTGACAGGGTCCCCACTTGTATGTGCACAGTTTCTGTTGGGTTTCTGAGCATCTGTCCTGACTGTCCTCTGCTCTTTCCTCCCTGCCTCCCCAGCGGGTGTTCCCCTATGTCTCCGCCATGGTGAACAATGGCTCCCTCAGCTATGATCATGAGCGGGATGGTCGACCCACAGAGTTGGGGGGCTGCACAGCCATTGTTCGCAATCTCCACTATGACACCTTCCTTGTGATTCGCTACGTCAAGAGGCATCTGACGGTGAGTCCTTCTCTTGGGTCGATGAGTCACTGGGTTTCATGCTCTTGCTCCTGTGCCTCACCATGATCCAGTGTGTCTTTTTGTTCTAGATAATGATGGACATCGATGGCAAGCATGAGTGGAGGGACTGCATTGAGGTACCTGGGGTCCATCTGCCCCGGGGCTACTACTTCGGAACCTCCTCCCTTACGGGCGACCTCTCGGGTACTACCTCCTGCATTTTTCATTTGCCCTGACTTGATGTCATATTTCAGTGCCCAGGTCTTGGTGAGGCTGTGAGGAAGTCAGTGCTCAGAGGATACCTTTGCTCCTGCGTTCTTGTATACAGATCTTGAGAAAGCTCAGACCTGTTTTTCCTAGTGCACTTCTCTCCAAGAGATGGCTGGTGCAAAGGGAACTCTCCCTTTTCATTCAGCTGGTCTGCCAGCCTGCTTTGGGTTCCATATTTCCTGCTTCTATTTCCCTCTCCCTGCAGTCACGCTCTGCCTTCCTGTGTGCTGCTAATAAGCCCAGTGTCTTGACTATTGTCTGTCTTCTGATCTCCAAACTCAAATGCACAGCCATCAAGTCAGCTCTGACACATTGCAACTCTCTGTTGGGTTTCTGAGGCTGTAAAGCTCATTTTTTTAAAATTAGTTTTCATGAAATAATTAATTTACATTGTGTTTCATTCATGCACATTGTGGGTTTTGTGTATGTGTATGATTTTAACGAAAGTTTACAGAAAAGTTAACTTTTCATCCAGTCATTATTGAATATTTTCCTCCCTCCCCTCTCCTTCTGTTCACTTTAAAAAAAACTTATTGTTTCATAATATTCTCCCTCCCCTCCCTGTACATTGTACTTTATACCATCTTTCTTTTACATTGTGCTTCATTCAATTATTCATATACATATTGTATTTATATAATTAATTACTAATGATCTATGCCTATTATTAGGGAACTCTGGTAGCCTAGTGGTAAGGAACTGAGCTGCTGATACTAAGGTTTGCAGTTTGAATTCACCATCTGCTCTGTAGGATAAAGATGGACAGTCTCCTACCATGCAGTTAAGTGCCTCTGAAAACCCACTGGAGGATCAGCTATGAGTTGGTTCCAACTTCATGGTACTCAACAACAACATTCCTGTTATTACCCTATCATTTCAAATCCCCATTGAATCTCTCCTATTCCTACACATACACACCCTGCCCCCTAAGCTCTGCTATCCTAGGAATTTCCACCCTTCCTCTTTTCCTCGTCCCCTTTTGGACATTTATATATGTCTAAGTAGTTACCGTTCTATTTTTACAGTAATGGTCTTACGCAGTATTTGTCCTTATGAGAAAGTCATTTCACTCAGCATAATGCTTTCTAGACTCTTTCATGTTATCTAGTATTTTATGGAATTATTGCTCCTGAATGCTACATAGTATTCCATTGCGTGAATATACCACAAATTCTCTATCCATTTGTTTGTTAATAAGCATTTGGGCTGTTCCATTATCTTGCTATTGTGAATAGTGCTGCTGTGAGGTGTACATATCTCTTTCATGCCTTAGTTCTAATTTCTTTGGGATACATTTCTAGCAGTGCAATAGGCAGGTCATAGGAGATTTTTTTTATTTTTAATTAATTTTAATGAAAGTTTATAAGACTTTCAGTTTCCATTCATTGATTGTTGTACTTTTCTCCCTGCCCACCCCTCCCCCTCAGTTCACTCTTCTCTTTGAAAAGTAAAAGAAAAATTCTTTCATTGTTATACAATACCTCCTCCAAAGTCCACTCCACTGTGCAGCCTTCATGCAGTATTTGTCCCTTTGTGACTGAGATACTTCACTCAGCATAATGTCCTCCAGGGTCACCCATTTTGTTTAATATTTCAGGAGTTCTTTGTTTTTCAATGCAGCATATAATAATATATTCCATTGTGTGAATATACCACAGCTTCTCTATCCATTCATTTGTTGTTGGGCACTTGGGTTGTTTCCAGCTCTTTGCTATTGTGAACAAAGCAGCAATAAACATGGGTGTGCATATATCTGCTTGGGTGGTGGTTATGGTTTCTTTGAAGTATATTCCCAGTAGTGGAATTGCTGGGTCAAATGGTATTTCTATTTGCAACTTTTTGAGAAAGCACCATACAGCCTTCCATAGTGATTGTACCATTTTACACTCCCACCAGCAGTGAATAAGGTTTCCAGTTTTCCCAGGACCTCCCTGCCCACCCCTCCCCCTCAGTTCGCTCTTCTCTTTGAAAAGTAAAAGAAAGCCAGCATTTGTTGTTTGCTGCTTTGTTAAATACTGCTATTGTTACTGGGATGAGATGATATCTCATAGTTGTTTTGACATAGGAGATTTCTATGGTAAGGTTTTTGAGGAGACTCTAAATTGCCTTCCAGAATGGTTGTACCATTTTAAAATCACATCAGCAGGGTACGAGAGTTCCACTCTCACTGCGTCCTCTCCAGCATTTATTACTTGCTGCCCTGTTAAACTTTGCCACTGCTACTGGGATGAGATGGTATCTCATTGTGGGTTTGATTTATATCTCTTATTGCCAGTGATTTTTGAGCATTTCTTCTTATGTCTGTTTGCCATCAGAATGTCTTCCTATGTGGACAGTCTTCCCATGTCTTTTGTCTATTTTGTAATTGCGTTATCATTCCTTTTCTTGTGGAGGTCCGTATTACTCTGTAAACTTCTGTTGTAAGACTTGTTTGTAATGTCATTGCCAAATTTTTTCCCCCTAGTCTGTTGCTTTTCACTCTATTGGAAAAAGTGTTTGATGCACACAGGGACTTCATTTTTAGAAGGTCTCATTCATTGATTTTGTCCACTCCTGGTTGTGAATTTCTGGGTATATTTGCCAGCCTATTTATATCATAGGCTCAGTAAAATAAGTTTTGTCCCATTTTGATAATTTTATGATTTTGGACTTTGTCCCTTGGTCTCTTATCTACCTTGAGTTGATTTTTGTGTCTGTGAGATAGGAATCCTGTTACAGCTTTCTTCAGGTAGGTGTCAAGTTTTGCCAGCACCCTTTGTTGAAGAGATGGTTGTTTCCCAATTTAATAGTTTTTGATTCCTTGTCAAATACCAATTGATTGTAGGTGGATGGGTTCATTCCTGAGTTCTTGATTCTATTCCATTGATCTATGTGCCTGTCGTTGTACCAATACCATGCTGCTCTGGTTACTACTGCTGTGTAGTAGATTTTGAGATCAGGGAGTACTATACTTCCCACTTCATTTTTATTTTTCAGAAGAGCTTTGCTTATTTGGAGTCTCTTTCCTCCAAATAAATCTGCCAATTGCCCTTTCTTTCTCTTTGAAAAATTAGTTTAGTAGTGAAATTGTGTTGAAGCTATAGAGTGCTTTTGATAAGATTGTCATTTTCACTCTGCTGAGTTTTTCTATCCAGGGACAGGGAATATTTTTCCATTTAGTTAGGTCTCTTACTGTTTGTCACAGTAGTGCTTTGTAGCTTTCCTTATAAAGGTCTTTAGAATCTAGTTAGTATTTCATTTGTGGTTGGCTGTTGTAAATGGTGTTGCTTTCTCAGGTTCCTTTTCCATGCTTTTGTTGTTGCTGTCAGCTCAGTCCTTCCCTTGACTACCATCATTCTTCTGCTCCCCAGACTCAAACTTGGTTCCTTGAGGGCAGCTCTGACTCCCTGGAGCCTCCCTGGGTTCCCTGTTCATCTCACCCTTCTGCCTGGCAGCTTTTGGTGGGTTTGAACTGCCACATGCACTCAGCCTTTTGGTTAGCGGCTCAGTGGATACAGATTGCACCACCAGAACTCCTTATTCTGACTTCTGGATGTTCCTGGTCCTGAAACTTTAAATGAGCAACATGTTCAGATGTTTCTCTTTCTCAGCTATCACCTCCATAACACACTGCCGTGCACTCTGGCGTTGTCTCTGCTGTGCCACTGTTTTCACAGAAGGGACTTTTCTTCCTTGCCATCTGCAGCTTTTCTTGCTTCATCTTGGTGGATCAGTACCTGAAATTCTTTCCTTGCTTGACTTGTCTGGTATTCACAATAACTGGCTCTTTTGCTTTTTTGTCTCCACTGTTCTTTCTTTCCAAGTTTGTAGCTTCTTGCTTTATATTTATTCTCTCAGTCCTCACCTCTTTTCAGAAGAAAGAACAAAACTTTTGGTTCTTTGCATTAATATCATTTTTTTAGAAATGTCAAACGTACAGCTTACTATGGAAGAATTGAAGCTCTGATGGTCCTGTGTGAAGGCATTTGGCTGTTAACCACAGGCTGGTGGTTTGAATCCACGAGCCATGCCAAGGTGGAAAGATGGGACAGAGTCTTTCCATAACAGTTTTCAGCCTTGGAAACCCTGTGAGCCATTCTGCTGTGTCCTATAGGGTCACTATGAGTGGAAATCCACTAGGAGCCGGTGAGAAAATAGAACAGATGCCCAGGTGAGAGAGGGCAGGTGCCTGTTCAGCTTCTCTCATTCTTGTCAAGTGAAAATGTGGAATGAATGAAGCGAGATACTCCAGCTGGCAGCTGATTTTTCAAGAAAACTAATTATCCTTCACATAAGAGACAAGTTTACTGCTTGAAGGTTTGACTCAATACTTGTATACTAGTGTAGTTACTGCAGTAATCAAGATACAGAATGTATATATCCCTTACATGAATAAAGTTCCATTGTGCCCTTTTGCGCTATTTCCTGGGCTCCAGGCAAGCATTGCTCTGCTTTCTGTCATATGAGAGATAAATCTGGGCCATTCAATTATTTTTGTTTATAATTTTAATGAACATTTATAGAGATTTTGGATTTCCATTTATTAATTGCTGCACTTCTCTCCTCACCCAGCCCTCCCCCATTCCCTAGTTCGCTCCTGTCTTTCAAAAGTAAAAGAAACACTCCCTCCCTGGTACACAATCCCCCCACACTCCTCCCGCTGCTCCAAGTACATTCCACTATGCAACCTTAATTGTGGACTCTTGTGATAACCATAATACCCTATCATACATCGCTTTTAAATTATTCTCTCCCTCATCTGTTTCAGGGCAGTATACACAATTTATCTAGTTTTTCTCAGTCTTACCCCGACCCTGATATCAGTCCCATTTTACAACAATGGCACCATGCAATATTTGTCCTTTTGCGACTGAGATATTTCACTCAGCATAATGTCCTCCAGGGTCACCCATTTTGAATAATATTGCATGAGTTCCTTGTTTTTTAATGCAGCATAGTATTCCATTGTGTGAATATACCACAGCTTCCCTATCCTTTCGTTTGTTGATGGGCACCTGGGTTGTTTCCACCTCCTTGCTATTGTGAACAGAGCCACGATAAACATGGGTGTGCATATATCTGCTTGGATGTCAGTTATGGTCTCTTTGGGATATATTCCCAGTAGTGGAATTGCTGGGTCAAATGGTATCTCTATTTGCAACTTTTTGAGAAAGCTCCATACAACCTTCCACAGTGGTTGCACCATTTTACACTCCCACCAACTGTGAATAAGGGTTCCAGTTTCCCCACAACCTCGCCAGCATTTGTTGCTTGCTGTTCTTTTAAATTTTGCTATTCTGACTGGGGTGAGATGATATCTCATAGTTGTTTTGCATTCAGTTCTTTTTTTTTCTCTTTTACTCTTTTTGTGTGCATGTACCATCAAATCAGATCTGACTGGTACAGGAGGAGATTGTCCCTCCTTCCCCGGCAGAGCATCTGGTGGATTCGAACCGTGCGCCTCTGGGATTGTAGTTGCAGCTCCTTGCCACTAGGCCTGCATTCAATTCTTAACACAGTGCATGCCACACCTATAGAACAGGTCTGACCTTGTCTTGGGGACGGGGGCACAGACTTGTAATCTTGTTATGTAACTAAAATGGAATGAGACTACCTTGTCTACATTGAGCTTGCAGGGTTCTGGAGTCTGTTAACCTCCCCGTGCCAGTTTCAGTGAAGTTGCTCTCAACTGTTAAAAATGGCCTAGGAGAGCAGAAAAGATTTTCTAAATCCCAAAGAGTCTCCCCCCTTGGTGTCCTAGTGATAGTGTTCTCTGCCCATAGGACAAGCCTTCATACGAACTGCCTCTTTTCTTAAGTGGTTTTTCTCTTTTCTTTCCTTCTCTTTTGGTTGACATCCTCTGTTGTGTTGTATGTACAATGGTGATTGTAAACTGCTGTGAAAGTTATGGTATGTGCGTCTGTCCCAGCGTCTCATAGCCCCACAATGCAAACAACAGTGGCTTTTTACTCTGTCCCGCGGTTTAGACTCAGCGCTAATAGCTAAAATAGTTTCCTGCTTGAAGGTGAATCCACGTTTTCCTTATCTGGAGATTTGCCAGAAATTCTGGTGACACAAGCAGCTGTCATTCCATTTAGGTAATAACCAAAATGCAGGCCCCACAACCAGCCCAGTAGTCATGAGCAACCTTAGTCCAGATCTGTAGCTTCTTATACCAATTTTCATTAAAAGGAATTACATTTTCTTGGAAAGGACGCTCATGCCAAGTCCAAACCAGAAAATGTGTCAGGTGAATCTAGAACTTAGCAAAACAGGAAAGGAGAAAACAAAAATTTCTGAGTTTGTATCATAATGACTCATAAAACACTTCACAAGGCTCCCACAGATCCAAAGATGGTCAAACTGAGTATCAATAAGATAACTTTACTATACTAAACACATAAAATATTTAAATCTGTGTGTTTAAATAATATTTTTAAGAGAGAAATAAAAAAAGAGAAAGCCAGTTCCTAATTCTTTGATCTAATATTTTTTTTCTCTGATAATTGTTAGTGAGATTTAGAGTCATAATTGCAAAATTTTATAAAGGGATTGAGTCTATCCCATCTGAATTTCAGAACCATCTCAGGCACAGGTTTGAGGCCTTGAACACTAATGAGCGAAGACCAGATGAGTTGTGGGAGGATGTCAAAGATATCATTCAGGAAGAGTGCAGACATTCATTACAAAGACAGAGGAGGAAGAAAACACCAAAATGGATGTCAAAAGAAACTCTGAATATTGCACTGGAGCATAGAGAAGCACAAGGAAAAATTCAAGATACTAAAGAGCTGAACAGAAGATTTCAAAAGGCAGCGCGGGATGACAAAGTAAAATATTACAACGAAATGTGCTAGGAGCTGGAGTTAGAAAATCAAAAGGGCCGAACGCGCTCAGCATTTCTTAAGCTCAAGGAACTGAAGAACAAATTCAAACCTCGAGTTGCTATAATCAAGGATGCTTTCGGCAGAATATTAAATGATCCAGGAAGTATTAAAAGGAGATGGAAAGAATATACTGAGTCACTGTATCGAAAGGAATTGGCAGACACAGAAGAATTTCGTGAAACAACATATGAGCAAGAGCCTATGGTGATGAAAGAAGTAGTTCAGGCTGCTTTTAAGGAAATAGCAAAAAATAAGGCCCCAGGAATAGATGGTATACCAATTGACATATTTCAGCTAACAGATGCTGCCTTGGATGTGCTCACCAAGTAGTGCCAAGAAATCTCGAGAACAACCACTTGGCCAACTGACTGGAAGAGATCTATATTTGTTCCCATCCCAAAGAAGGGTGACCCAACAGAGTGTGGAAACTATAGAACAATATCATTGATTTCACATGCAAGCAAGATTCTACTGAAGATCATCTAAAAACAACTGGAGCAGCACATCAGCAGAGAACTGCCGGAAGTCCAGGCTGGGTTTAGAAGGGGTTGTGGTACTAGGGACATTGTAGCTATTGTTAGATGGATCTTGACTGAAAGCAGGGAATACCAGAGGAATGTCTATCTGTGTTTCATTGACTATGCAAAGGCTTTTGACTATGCGGATCGTAACAAACTGTGGCTGACTCTGAGAAGAATGGGAATCACAGAACACTTGATTGTGCTAATGTGAAACCTATACTTGGACCAAGAGGCAGTTGTTAGAACAGAGCAGGGAAACACTGCATGGTTCAAAATTGAGAAGGGTGTACACCAGGGATGTGTCCTGCCTCCATACCTTTTCAACCTGTATGCAGAACAGATCATCCGAGAGGCGGGGCTCTATGAGGAGAAATGCGGCATCAGGACTGGTGGAAGATCTATCAACAATATGTGTTATGCAGATGACACAACCCTGCTTGCTGAAACTGAGGAGGACCTGAAGCTCTTGCTGCTGAGGGTCAGGGACTGCAGCCTTCAATATGGACTGAGGCTCAATATCAAGAAGACAAAGATTCTCACCATTGGACCAATTGGCAGCATCAGGATAGATGGTGAAGAGATTGAGATTGTTCAAAGCTTTAGTTTGCTTGGCTCCACAGTCAACACTCTTGGCAACAGCAGCCAGGAAATTAAAAGACATATTGCAATGGGAAAGTCGGCTATTAAGGACCTCTCCAAAGTACTAAAGAGCAATGGTGTCTCTTTGGAGACTAAGGTGCATCTAATACAGGCCATGGTCTTTGCAATCACTTGTTATGCATCAGAGAGTTGGACAGTGAGTAAGGAGGATAAAAGGAGAATAGATGCCTTTGAGCTTTGGTGCTGGAGAAGAGTATTGAATGTACCATGGACTACTAAGAAAACAAACAGATTCATCCTGGAAAGGGTTAAACCGGGCAGTTCCTTGGAGGCAAGGATTCTGAGGCTCCGTCTGACATACTTTGGATATGTTGTAAGGAGGGACTGGTCCTTGGAGAGGAACATCATGCTTGGTAAGGTGGAGGGACAGCGCAGGAGGGGAAGACCCTCTATGAGGTGGATTAATTCAGTGACTGGGGTAATTGGGATGGGTGTATCAGAGACAGTGCGATTGGCACAGGACAGAGCAGTGTTTAGGGCTGTTGTACATAGGGTCGCTATGAGTCGCAAGCGACTTGATGGTACATAACAACAACACAACATAATGTGGAAGAGAAGTTAATTCCCTGTCAATAGGTTTGCCCTGTCCGCGACCCATTCACCTGCTGGGAATCCTGTCCTGTCATTTGTGTCTTCCTGGCTGGGGAAGCTGTGGTGCTGTTTCCCCTCGCTGTGCTGAGAGCCTTTATGTAGGATAAGAGAGTTCCTTCTTGGAATGGAGGTCTCTTTTTTCATTATACAGGTAATGGATGCTTGTTAGTAATAATAAAAACGTAAATGTGTTAAGAGGATAGGATGTCCTCTGCCTTAATCCTCATTTTTGCATGAGGAAACATTTCAGTTCTTTTTTTCAGTCATTACTAGTTAGCTCACAGCAGAGACGCAGGCCCATCTGTGTGAGGTGGCTCTAGTGACACCATTTTTTCCTCTAGATAACCACGATGTCATCTCCCTGAAGCTGTTTGAGCTGACGGTTGAGAGGACCCCAGAAGAAGAGAAGATGCATCGAGATGTGTTTTTGCCTTCTGTGGACAATATGAAGCTGCCTGAGAGTAAGCCCAGGGAATGCTTGGGAAATGGCCCCATGGGGGGCGGCGGGAGGGTGCTTGGTGCATGGAGTCTGAGGGGGCTCCCACTCAGCTTGCTGGGTTACCTCCATTCACAGTTCTTCCTTTGAAGAATATAGGGTATTTGGTACCTGCCTTTTCACTTCATGCTACAGATGAGCAGCAGGGAGAGCTTCTCAGTGTTCCCAGTAGCAGAAACAAGGGACCCGATTCCCTCTTAGTTGATTCTTTCTTTCTGGGTGGGCTCCCTGTTCCTGACTTGCTTCTCTTTTACTTCCTCAGTGACAGCCCCACTGCCACCTCTGAGTGGCTTGGCCCTCTTCCTCATTGTCTTTTTCTCTCTGGTGTTTTCTGTATTTGCCATTGTCATTGCGATCATACTCTACAACAAATGGCAAGAACAGAGTCGAAAACGCTTCTACTGAGCTCTCCTGCGGCGCCACCTGACTGTCATCTGTGAGGTGTGGGAGGAGCAGGCACCGCCCTCAGGACACAGCATGCTGGGTCTTCTCTTAGTTTCCAGCATCTGCCAGGGGACTGTGTTCTGTCACTGGGACTTTGAATGCAGGGACAGCACCTTTCCATGGTCATCCATGGGCCCTCTAACTGTGCTTCAGGAGCCTCTCCCACCCCAGGGCGACTGCTATGATGTGCCTTTCCTGCAGCCTTTCCGATTGTGATGCTAAAATCACACAGAAAAGAATTTCATAACCCCGGCTGCCTGTCATTGGACTCAAGAGCATCCTATACCTCATTTTTAAAGGACACAAAATGGATACTGCCTTGTCCCTGTCAACCATCCAGTCATTGAGCTGTGCTTCGTTTGCCAAAGTCTCTGTCCCCCTGAGTTTGCCTTGTAAATACCAAAACATCTTTCACACCACTCTTTCCTCTCTCCCTACCATTTATTGTCCTCTCTAAATGTGACCTGAGTTGGAAAAGGCCCTGGAATCTTTGTCTGTTGTGGTCTGAGGCTGCGGGACAAACCAGCCTTCATTTCCTTGGTCTGTTGTACTCACTGGCCCAGCCTTTGTGCTCCAGTGAGTCGAGGTGGTTGGTGTGTGAGTGACCTTCCCAATCAGAGAGCCCTGAAGGCCTTAGTCATGCTTAGCTGGCAGTAGGTGTGCAAGGCCATTGACGTTTAGGAAACTTGATGGATAGCACAAGATTGTGAGGCTCATCACCTCCAGGCTGGGACTCTGAACTCAGTGCTTTTCAGGCCACACGCAGATGTTTCTGCAGTCTGGCCTTGCTTAGTTGCATGTTTTGCTCTTGCCATGATTTTTTGGAACCCTGCGTTGAATGTTAAAAGTGTAAGAATGCTTTCTTTTTATAGCCTGGACATGGATACTCCCTAGAGAAGTAATTTGGCTTCTTTCCTTACTGGGTAAAACAATGTTCTCATTTACAAGTCTGAGAAGCAACAGACCCTCATCATCTGTACTGAAGGAGTGTCTTGACTAGGCAGCAGAGCCTGAAGGTCAGCCTCTGTATGCTGTTCTTTCTGTGCTATCCACTCTGACAAGGGGGTCACATGTTGCTCCTCTGTCTGCCCTGGTATTCAGTTGGCTTACAGTCCAGCATTTCCCTGCAGGACCTGGAACTCAGAGACACTCCTTGCCACAGACGTCTGTAAACCAGTTGCTGCTGAGTCGAATCCAATTTGTATTGACTGAGTGGGACAGTCGACCTGGCCCATGGGATTCCTTGGCTGTAAGTCTTTGTGGAAGCAAACTGTCAAACCTTTATCCTGCAGAGCAGCTGATGGGTTTAAACCAGCTGGGCACCTGACCATTGTACCACTAGGGCCCCTGCAACCTGACAGAAATTCTTAAAATGGTTGACAGAAACCAAACATGAGCTTTTGCCACAATGTCCTTTTCCCTGAACCTCAAGGCTGTTCTCCTCTGCCCCCAGCCTAAGCCAGGGTGAAAGGAAAGGTCCCTTCACTGCATGTTGTTCTGTTTTGTAGAACCGCCTACGTCACTCCCCATGTCCTGAGTCAAGTGTGGGATTAGAGTGGGCCTGCAACAGACAGGAACCTTCATCCATCATCGCCACAACAGCAGGGATGTTCCGGATGTCACTGGGACCTAGAGCTTGGTGTCATGACCAAGTTAGAATTGCAAAGTCAAGTCACTGTGTATGTTTTTTTAGTGCCTGGGGAGATGGGCTGGGCCTGTGTGGAACGAGGACCTGTGTAAATAGTGGAGATGGAAGATGGTCGCAGTGGCAGAGGCTTCTCCAGGCACTCTGTGTGACAGGGAGACTGAGTCCGTGGTGTGGATGGTTCCACTCATGGATTCCTGGGCCTTCAGAGGACAGGGAGCACGTGGGTGCCATCTCCCCAGTCTGCAGATACTTATGTGTGTGGCTTAAGAAAACAACCGTTTCTGGCTTCTAGTTCTAGAAACAGTTAATGTTTCCATTTGTTAGTAAGGGAGTTCTTGTGATAAGGAAGTATGCTGCCAGCCCAGAGACATGTGGTTTGAATCTGCCAGCTGCTCCGCAGGGGAAAAGATGGCTCAGTACTGCACTGGGTGCTCTAACCCTAGGTTTGTGCTGGAGGAGGGAGCTGGCGTGGACCATAGGGTGGCAGGTTTAGCATGGACATTGGGAGGCAGAACACACAGCCAGTTCCCTCCTTATAGTCCACTTTGTTTTCCTCTGACTTTACATTTTGAGGTTGAGAAATGGTGGTTAAAGATGATTGAAAGGCAGGTGTTTTCAGTCTTCAGATCTTCAAACCTCTAAATTACAAAGTAACTCTCTGTTATGAAATTTTTTATTGTGGTTGAAAATTACAACTCTTCCCTTCTTATTAGAATTTATTTCTGAATGGAGTCATGAGAATATCCCAAAGATAGGGCTCATTGTGAGCAAGAGAGCACTAGGCGGATGTGGGTGAACTCATGTGAGTTGGGAGATCTTGCAGCGAGTGTCATCGGTCTTGGGTTTTAAGGTAGGCAGGAGCTTCAGATCTTAGGATGCAGGAGTTACTGTTGCTGATAGTTAATGAGTGATGACATTGCTGAATGTTCAGTGTTCCAGAATTACTCGAATTGCAGGTTTAATCAAGTGCATGGCCAGATATTTCTAGAGAGAACAAATGAGGGAGGTAGGCTGAAGTCCTTCTCAAGAGTCATCCCTGGAGCCCCTCCGCCCCCCCGAGCCCTTGTCCCTGTAACTGTCCCTCACTGGAGTTGCATAGATGAAGTTGGACAGCATGAGGAAGAAAGTGAGAATGGTAAAGGCGCACAGGATCTTGTAGCGGCTGCGTCTCCAGAACATGTGCCACATGTTTATCACAGGGACCTTCAGCTGCTTGTAGGTGGTGTAGATGCGGCTGCTTATAAGCAGGAGAGAGTGATCAGAGAATGGGAGGAGGAGAGGGGACATTACCTGAGCACAAAGCAGCTTCCACTTGGCCCTCTCCCCACCGCCAAGTCTGTCTTCTTTTTAAGTGTAATCAAGCATTAAGTTGGGTTGGTTGGAAGTAGTTTCTCTGTCTCCTGTGGGCTCACCAGACCATCATCGTTGTTGTTGTTGTTGTTAGTGCCGTCGAGTACGGCTTGTAGTGACCCTGTGAATAGCAGATCTGAACCTTGTCCTATCCTGTGCCATCAGTATCTTCCCCGACACACAAATGACAGGTCACTACATTATGTAAGAACTCTGGTGGCCTAGTGACAAAGAGCTGCGCTGCCATCCCTAAGGTACATGGTTCAAATCCACCAGCGGCACTGCCAGAGAAGAATGGGCAATTTCCTCCCATGAACTTTACTGCCTCTGAACCCCACTAGAGGGCCAACTATTGCCCTGTAATTTGTTGAACCTGTCAGCAGCTCAGCCCAACTCTTACACGGGGGTTTGAAGTGTAGGGTGCTGGTTGGGTTCTGACCGGCCTTGTCCAGCAGGCCTGAGTGAGGCTTCTTTCTCTGTCAGAATCTCCAGAGTCATGTTCACTTTCCCCTAGAAATACAGCAGGTGGTGGAAAGCGGACCTCAAGTTAGCAGGATTAAGGATAGTCTTAGGGCCTCTTCCCAGGATCCAGAAGGGGAAGGGGCCCCTAGGGGTCATTAGAGCCAGGTTTCCTGACCTAGCAATCCGAGTCAACAGACAGCTTCCCCAGCTCCTACCGACAGGTGCCATTTTCCATCATCCAGGGCCTGACAAGGCCACCAGCCAGTCACGGTCTTCTTCTTAAAGAGGGATATGCGCTGGCCTTGGGAGAGGGGCCATTTGGGCTCCATGTTCATCATCTTGAGGGAGCAGACTTTGGCTTTCCGGGCGGGGAATGGCATATCAGACAGATCCATCTCCAAGACGCCTGCAACCCAGAGGCCATCAGCAGGGAGTCGCTCCCCTTGCTCAGGGGCTTTGGTCAGAGGCTGTCAGTGGGGAGTCCAGCAGGGAGTTACTGTCCTGACTCTGGGGCTTTGGTCAAGCCATCAGGGGGGAGTCACTGCCTTGGCTCAGGAGCTTTGGCAGAGGCCAGCCTAGGGGAGTCAGTCACTTGCCCTGGCTCAGGATATTGTTCAGAGGCTGTCAATAGGAAGTCACTTCCCTGGCTTGGCGGGGTGGGGGAGGGGGCGCTTTGGTCAGAGGCTGACCTGGGGGAGTCAGTCACCTGCCCTTGGCTTGGGGGGCTTTGGCAGAGGCCATTAGTGGGGAGTCGCTGCCTTGGCTCAGGGGATTTGGTCAGAGGATGCCAGCGGGGGGTCCAGGGGTGGAGTCGCTGCTCTGGCTTGGGGGCTTTGGCAGAATCTTACCTATGAAGTCATCTGTAGATAAGGTGTTATTGTCCCAGACCTGGATGATGAGCTGGGGGGGAAACTTCATCGAGGTAGCGTCCAGACTCCACACGTAGTCCTAGGGGGTAGTAGAGCATTCTGCTGCCCCTTCTCTTTGCTTTTATAACCCCTAGACATATTAATAGCCTGTGATCTAGCAGTGACAGACTAGCAGGGAATTGTCTGAGCACACATTTCGTGAGTTGTGGTACAGTTTGTAGGTGTCAAAGGGACAGGGAGGAAGCACTCCAAGAGCCTGTTTGGGTCTGTTACCTTCTCTCTCTGGACACACATGTGCTCAGCTGCCAGATAGTCCATGGTGAAGATAAACCGCCAGTTGAAGCTCCCCTTGCCAGTCACGGAGTGATAGTGGATGTCTGTCTTCTGCATGTCATGCTCTAGACCAAATAACCACCTGGAACCAAATACTTGTCACCTGGGGTTGGTCTGTCTTGCCCACATCCCTAAACTGGAGCCCACATCCTTGTGGGAAAAACAGCTTGGCAGTCCATGGAAGTGGAAGGTTGTCATCCCCAAGATTAGAAAGCCCCAACAAGAATAACAGAATGACAGAGCTGGGGACCAGTGGGTCCTCTGGGAGCCCCAGTCCTCTCACCCTTTGATGTAGATGTCGCTGGACTTCTCGCCCATAACACTGTCCTTCAGGTCCACACTGTCCACTTGCCAGATGATGCAGCGCAGCTCATACCTGCAGCCATTGGTGCTCTGAGGCTTTGCTAACGAGTGGCTCCCCAGCCTCAGCTTTGGTGAGCGAAGAGAGGCCGAGAGGGCTTCTCTCCATGCTCGCATGTGTCTTGCTGAATTGGGGGAATTCATAGTAGAAAGCTTCCAGGATTCTCAGTGGAGGATAAGTTACTGTATCTCAGTGTTTGGGGACAGTAGTGTTAAACACTCTGGGGAGGTGGAACTGAAGTTTAAAGTTTGGGCAGTGGGCCGCTACTCACCTTTTTGGCTTTCTGGGGCTGATTTTGACTGGAGGACCAGGAGGGCCAAGCTTCTTAGGGAAGATGTCTACCCACATCTGCACCTTTCCCTAGAGCCAGGGTAGATGGGTTGGTTGTTGGCTTCCCTCTGCCTTGGGTTCCTGACACCCAGGGCTGGGTTGTGAAGGTATCTAAGGTGGGATTGGACCCAGATGAAAGTCGAGCAACTGATGGCCAGCTTGCCCTTGGCTGGAAGGAGAGTGTCCTGAGGTTGGTGTGGGGTATTATAGCTTGGAGGCTGAGGGGTGTGACACTTGGCAGCTCCTGCATGACTGGGGTCTGTCTAGAGGATTAATGCCATTTGGCAGACCATGTTCATACAGGGCTCAAAACTGGGGTTGGGATTGATTTTAGTTAGTTAGTTTGTTAGTTAGCTAGCAGTTTGATGGTCTTGAATAAAAGTCAACTAGATCAGTCTCAATGCTCAGGTCCTTTTATGTGGTGTAACTACCACTTAAGGGCATTAAACTAGCCACAAAGCATAGGGGTTTAAGAGAGAAGATAGGGGATAAAATGTAAGAGAAAAAGGGCAGAACTACCAATATCGGTGAAAAAAGAGAAATATGTTCTTTTTATCAAACTACCTGACCAAATTTTATTATTATTTTGAAGGTGACCCTGTTTGAGGAGAGAAGTTTAATGAGAATGGTTTAAAAAAAGAAAGGGGGGAAATCAGCAGAGAACTTTTCTCTAAACAAGCTATCAGCTTGGAAAATGTGGAGAATGCAGTGACAATTACAGTGATTGGAGTGGCAATGATGATGAAGGCACCTTGGAGATGGTTATGCTTCTGCTTGGGCCTCCCTGTGCCACCCTACCCCGGGGGGAGCTAATGCCAACAGCATTGGCTCTTAGGATCTTCGGACCTGAGCTCCCCATGGCTGGTAGCCTTGTTTCTTGTGGGGGACTTCTGCTCTAATGTTCTCTATTCCTTTTTTCCTTCTTCCTAAGGTCCCTACCTCTGCCCCGCAGGTCGTCTCTAATGCTAACTAATGCTGACCATGATGTTGGCCCTACCTGGCTTAGTCTTGAGTTCTGTTGTGACCTAGCCACCATGGTGACCATGCTGGAATTTGAAATTCTGGTGGCAGAGCTTCCAGCATCACAACAAAGAGGCCTCTCCAGTGCAGCAGGTGGATGCTGTCCACTGAGTGATAGTCCTGTGGCTTTTGGCTAATCAGCATGCATACTTAATCATGTGCTTGTACTGGTTCATGCACCTGAGCTCTCCTGCACCTCACTTCAGGGGCGATGCCCTGGCTGGGAGAGCGATGCCCTGTCTGAGTAAGAGCAAACTAGATCAGTACTAATCCCCAGGCCATGTTGTGTAACCTCTCGCTCGGGAGCCCTGGTGATGCAGTGTGTGTGGCCTGCTGACCTGCAGTGCTGATGCATCCACTGCTCTGTGGGAGGAAGAGGGCAGCCTCCTCTGTAACGATTTACAGCCTCAGAAACTTGATTGAGGGTCACTGTGAGTTGAGACCTCCTTGCCAGCAGTGGGGTTGGGAGGACTTTTAGACAGCTCACAGAAGCGTAAGAAAGGAGATAAGAAAAAAAAAAGAAAGGAGATAAGGGATAGAAACTGTAGGTGTGCCCCTCCTGGCTCAGACCTGGTCGATGCCCGGCTGACTGTCGCTGTACAGGGTGCGGGTCTCCAGGTGCTCAGGCACAAGCCCTTGGGTGTGCAGGACATAGAGTGCAAGGCGCTCCTTTTTGGATCCCAAGTGCTGAGCGGTGGGCGGCTTGGGCTCTGGGATGGGGGGGGGCAGAGGGAAAGAATCACAAAGTGTTAGCTTCCCACAGCCGAGGAGGCATTCCGCTTCCTTCCCCAGCCTGGCTGAGAACAGGGTTAGCAGCCCTCTGTATGAGTAAAGGAGAAAGGGGGACAGGCTCTCTCCGGTTCAGGAGGGAGGAGGGATCATGCTTTGCACCCCACCTCTAACCTCCCAGCTTTTCCATTCTGGAGACCTCATGTGTCCCAGCCTGTGCCCGTGCTTTCTGGGAACATCCTGTGCTTCTCACCAAAGCTTTGCAGCTTGATTTTTCTCCCATTGTAAAAAACAGAGTCATCCTCAACGTTGAAAAGTGGTGGAGACAGCCCTTTCAGCTTGGCGTGGCGTTCTAGAAGTTGGCTTGGAGACATCTGATCGCGCCACCTGAAGGGTCCTGAGCTGTGGTGGTGGGTGAGAGAAGAAGCGAGGGAGGGTTTGAGTTCTGAACGTGACTCTGAGCTGCATGACCACTGGAGGTGGAAGCATGGGTGGGAATGGGGCTGGGCCCGGGTTGTGCAGGCCTCTGAGGGAGCCATGAGCTCATCCCCTCCTGCCCCCTCCCCACTCACTGGCAGTAGGATTTGGAGAGCCCACAGCGTGCTCCAAAGCCAGACAGGAGCCGGTTTTCAAGGTCAATGACTGTGGTTCCAATCTTGTCATCAGGTAAAAGCAGATCGAAGTCGTAGAGCTGGATCTCTAGGTCCTTCTCCAGAGGGATGTTGCATTCCAGTTCAAACATCCTAGGGGAGTGATTTGGGAACTGCAGATATTATGACAGGAGGGTGTTCTGAGCTCTAGCTGTACTATGCTGTCTGCCTGACTCCCTCCAGCATCTCAGCCCATGGGCACCCCATTGTTTTATGGTGAGTGTGAGAGCAGAGCTGTGGATTAAGCCGTTGGCTACCAGTTACCATTCCTTGGTTATGGTTGCAAAGAACTTTTAATAAAGTTGGGTACAGGACTCCAAACTTTGTTCCCAGACAAAACCTTTTGACAGGGAGTATAGATCTGGACACCCAGCCACTTCTGCCTTGAGCCCATAGAGTGTATAAGACACTGTGCTGAACACTGGAGACTGGAAAGGAATAAATGTGTTCTCTGCCTCAGGGCATTTACCCCCAACATCATGTGAATGGGAGCCCATAAAACGGAGCAGGAAGATTGGGGCAGCTCACATGCCAAAGATGGGATCCAGTGTGTTGGGCCGATAGGCATCTCGCTTGCCAAACTGTTTCTGCCCCACTTTGAGGATCACATAAGGGTCACACTGGGGATCACAGACATGGTAGTAAGAAGAGCGGGAACTAGGTTGGTTCTGAGAGGGTGGGTATGAGGCACGGATGAGCCCTTTGGTACTAGATGGCATCTCTGGGGAGCTCCAGATTAGGGTATGGGGAGGTGTGGAAGACCCTTGGCTAGGTGGGGCTGCTGTTCCCTTACCAGACCGTTGTAGTCCTGGGGCTGCAGGCTGAGCGCTCGGACCACATACACCCGCACCAGGCACTCCTGAGGGAAGCCTTCTTTGTCAGATCTAACGAAGAACTGACGAGGAGGCTTGGTGGCCTTAGGATCCTCAGGAAATGGGTAGATGCGGAAAAGGCCCTGTGTGTATTTTGGAGATGGCAAGGAGATGGCTGTGAGAAGGGTGGTGGCTGATGAAGCACATCTGCAGGGCCAACTAGGGGGTTGGGGGTTTGGGACCAAAGAATTGCAATCACTAGATGAGATCCTGGGAGTTCTGGTGGCCCAGTAAAGGAGCTGAGCGGCTGACCTGAAGGCACACGGTTCAGGTCCACCAGCTGCTCCTCCCTTGCCATTTACTACCTCCAACAACCTGCTGGAGGGTCAGCTGTGAGTCCGTCCCTACTTACCAGTACACATCAGCAGATGAGTCTATACTTTCTACGGATTGAACTCTCATTTCAGAGCAGTAGCCCTAAGTCCCTGCAGAGCTGTCTTGGCTCTCCCACACCCAGAATGCTTGGGCTGGGCATAAGGAAATAGGGACGAATGAGCCAGGGCTCACCTTGAACTCTCCTACCACGGGGCTGTCCAGCACAGGCTTCTCCTTGTAAAGTCTGAAAGTCTGGCAGAAGTCCTGCAGACCTTTGAAGTCTGGCACAGCCTCCAGCTCACAGTCATACACCTGTGAGGGAGTGTGCATCCCACTGTGGTGGAGCGCAGAGGGGCATACCCCCAGGACCAGGGCACTGAGGAACCACCAGCTCCCAGGCCTTACTCCAAAACATGTGCCCCACTACCATCCCTGCATGCTCTAGCCCTGTCACTGCAAGGGTGTGCTGAGGGCCGGGGAGGCCCCTGTGGAGACAGTGCAGATGTTCCCCTGCGAGGTTGTTCTTAGAGGAATCAAGGCCTCATGTGCTGGCTTTTGCCATTCCATCTCTCTCAGCACCTTTCCCTCCCAGGGGTCCCCAAACCTTTAGTGTGTGGTAATCTTTGTCCTGCTGCTGCCTGTGTTTGTGAGCCTCATTTGTGGCCCAGGACAGCTTACTCCACCAGTCCACATCAGGCTCATAGTCACCCTGGAGGGAAGGGAGTTAAAGGGTGTGGGGGAAGAGTCGCACTGCTCCTCCACTCCCCACAGACACCTTCCCCACTCCCTCAGCTGCTTAGGCTGTTTCCCACCTCTTCGTTTTTGGACTTGAGCCAGAACTTTTCATAGAGGTAGTCTAAAAACTGGAAAAAAAAAGAGCCGAGTTGAGGTCAGGCAGCACATACCTTGCTCACACTTTTCAAGGGTGATAAGGAGGAGCCAAAGCTAAGGGTTATTTGTTCTTTGCTCTTCCTGTAAGCGCTCTTAGTAATTCGGGAACATGAGACTTTATGTTTGGGAATAAGAAGAGGAAGCAGATTTCCCATCCTCATTGCTGTGTGCATAAACTAAATTCCGAAAGTGTCTCAGAAATGCAGGCTCTCGAGTCCTATAGGCCTGTTGACTCTGGATTTACTTTTTATCACAGTGCCCACGGAGCTCTGTGCATAAGTTGACAGGCCCTACGTGTGTAGTAGTCCTGAACCTCAGAGCACACTGTAATCACAAGCACGACTGCCTGGCCTCTGCCTCCAGCCCTTCTGATGTCACTGAGTGACTGGGTCTTCCCAGGCTATTCTAATGTCCAGCTAGCATGGACTTCACTGTGCTAGAGTGCCATGTGTGAGGAGATCTCCCACTGGACACAGACCTGGGGTAATAGAACTCTATAACTGACCACATGTTTCCTAGAAATGGTGCTGGAGAAAGTGGGACCTCAAAACATCTACTTACCTCCTGGCACTTCTTCACTGACAGTGCTGTTTGGAGAAAGTGCAATTGTGAATCTCAGGAGAGGGGGAAAAGGGTGGGTGGGAGGAGCACCAGCCCAGAGGGGAGCCAAGGCCTTCCCCTACTCCCCATGAAGAATGGAGTTGAGGCCAAGTGAAGGGCAAGGAGAGGGGCCATACTTGGAATCCTTGGGGGCACATAGTTGTCAGCCCAGGGGTCACAGAAATAGGGCTGCAGGAAGTTGATGTTGGCCTGACCCACTACAGTCTGCTCGCCGAAGTCCCTGATGTCCACCACCTTCACCACCAAGGGCAGTGAGTAGGCCTCCTCTGTCGGCATAAACTGCATCCCCCAAGGAGAGGTGGGAAGTGTGAGTGTTCCCAGAGAGGAGAGCTGCCCAGCCCTAGCCCGGAAAACTCTTACCAGTGTGAAGAAGAGAGCAGACTCAAGAAAGTTGGGGTTGGTCTGGAAGTCCTTGATAGGCTCTGTTCTCAGGGAGTGTTCCCCACATTCTATCAGGAGATAGGGGGACTGTACATCCTTCATGTTCCGAAGACCCCAGACCAGAACCTGATAGAACGGGGGGGGGGCAGAGCTGAGGGGCGGTAGCAGGGGCCGTGTGAGGCTCAACTGCTGCAGTGGATACTAAAGCCTTGTGTATACAACCCACAGTTGAGATTCACATTAAAGGGATTAAAAATATTTAATCAGAGTGTCTGGTCTTCATCTTTTTCTTCCTTTCTTCTGTTTTCCTATCTTCTTGGGGTCCAATTTAGGGTCAGATAGAAAGGTCAGCAGAAAGTTGCACAGTGCCCACTCTATCAGCCCATCCTCGCCACCCATGCTTACCCAGCCCCTCCCGCGTCACGCCATCATCACCTCAATAGCCACCTTCTTTAACGTGGGCTGGATATCCTTGGGAAGCATGTAGATGTTATTCTTCCAGGGAACATTTAAGATTGGTGGCTTCGTTTCTCTCACACTCTTGAGGGTTGAGATGGCAAGCAGAGAGCATGAGATCCTTTGGGGCTGGTCCTTCCATCCCACACCACATCTCCGTAGAATCCCATGGGTAAAATACAGTGGGAGAGCTGTGGGCCCTGTCCCAAGCCCAGTGTCCTGGTTTTCAGTCCCAGGCTTTCTCAGGAGATGGAGTTGGGAAAAGATGACTGGACATGGAGCGGGCAAGGTGGGGAGGAAAGGGGACCTGGGCATTACATCACATTAAACAGGCTCTTCCAGTACCTGAGTCTCAAGGATCAGCTCACAGGATGCTAAGATTTCACCTTCTTCCTCCCCTAATCCTTTTATAAGGGGGTGCCATCTCAATGGGGGAAGGGTCCGATGTTTGAGATCCAGCCAGACTGCTGGGGACCACATGCTTCGTCCCCACAAGCTCTGCTTGCCCTGGAGGGAAGTGGAAGTTTGTGAGACATGAAGGCCCAGTGCATGCTGTTCATTTCCTTCCCTGGGTTATGACCCTGCTGACATCTCACACTCAGGTTTGCGTGGTGCTTTCCAAAGCAGTAGGCACCAATGGAGCACTTCCATCCATTTTCCACTACAGGAAAAACTGGTCCATTTTGTGACGTAGATCGGTGACCCCCAGCCCCCCGCTTCACCTGGGAGTCCTCCCACAGTTCCAGCATCATGAGTGGTGGGCTGTCTTTGGTGTCCTGGGGGTTCTCATAGAGAAGGAGGTGCAGGAAGACAAGCGTCTGAGCCCATGTCGGGGCTGAAGAACTGCTCAGGGTCTGGGTGCACTGACTGTGGTTCAGGAAGACGGCCCGGATGTAAGACGCTGCAGGCGGGAGGGCGAGAGAAGGGTGCTCACGTCCTTTAGTCGTCAAGTGATGTCCTCTGGCTGCTACCCATGCCGGTGCAGCTGCCTAGAGGGGGCCCAGGCCTGGCACTAGTGCCAGGTGTGCAGAGGCCCACCCATCTAAGCAGCAGAGTGACTGGGTATCGAACCAGAGGCCAAGGGGTCATTTAGTTCTATCCACATGTACATCATGCCTGCTGTGTTTGGAGGAGCCTGGGGGACTGGGTGCACTGTGGCTGCTCTTCTATAGTATCAACTAGTGGCTTTGGCATTAGGGGACATTGTGTGATTGTATCACCCTTTTCTCTTTTTACCATTGTGTTTCATTATTCGCTGTGTGTTGTGCAATAATGCATATAGATTATGTTTTATATAATTGATCATTATTCTATGTATGTGGTCCTCTTAATGCAGGTGTTGATACCCAGTGGACACAGCTCCCAGTGGACATCCTGAGAATCCTACTGTCCACTGCCCTAGTCCAGACTTGCATCCTTCTCTCTGACTCTGTATAAACAATGCCACTTACAGGAATGAGTAGGAGCCGGTGATTCACCTCCTAAAACTTCCAGGATATAGTATAGGCTCCTCCTGCCTGGGCCTGAAATGACTATGTCTCCTCCCCTCCCGTCATCTTCTGGTCATGGTTCTCCAAGTATGTCACTCTCTTTTTTTTGCCTTCAGGCATCTGAGGTTTGCTTTCTGCCTGCTGTTTTCTCCTCATTGGTCTAAATACATCCACTTTAAGACCCAGTTACGGGTCCTCACTGTGACAAGCCTCTTCAGCTTTGCCATCTTGATTCCACAGCACTGGGGATCTACCTCAAGGGCAGCCTCACCTTCCATTCTTCGTTTGCGGTCGACCCCTGCCCCTAACAAGATGGTGGTGGGGAGAGTACTGCCCTTTCTTGCCACATTCTTTATGCTACTGGATGCCCTATTGCCAGGCCCATGAGAGATAGGGGAGAAAGGATGCCACTTACCCTCAAACATCTGGATCTTGTTGGGCATCAGGTTCCTAGCCTGATAGACATAGCAGAACAGCTGGTAATAGTGGGGCTCTAGGTAGGAGAGAAGCCCATCCATTATCTTCCCTGGGATCCCCAAGGCCTCCGTGCACCTCCTTTCTTCCACACTCTGACTGTGTAACCCCTGTCTCAGGTACTGGGCTTGGGTGGCCCGTGTATATACCCAGTAAGACACTCACTATTGAAAATGCAGTAGATGAGGGGTAGGTCGGATGGAAGGGTGTTCTCTGGCGTGGGCCTCCAGATGTTTGAGGGCTTTCTGTTCACTTCCCATAAGGACGCTCTTCTCTCCTCTGTCCCTTTTTCCTTTGTTTGTGAAATCTGATCCATAGCCAGTGCCTAGAAGGGTCTTTTTTAAGGCTTTTGGGGGCTTTTGCTGTCTTCTTCCAGGCCAACCCCAGCTCACCCACTGCGTCTGACCTCCCCGGAATGTGGATCTGAGCTCCACCCCCAGTGCTGCATGCCCAGCCTCAACCAGAGAGCCCTTCTCTGCCTCTGGAAGTTGGGGCTGCAGGGAGGCTTTACCAGGGACCCCTCAAGAAGAAATATGGGCGCAATGCCCTTATCCTTCTTGGGGACCAGTCGGCGGCGCCAGCACCGGCGGCGGAAATGGCTGGTGGGCTGAGCGTTCAGGTGGAACTTGGAGCCGAAGGTGCCGTATTCCCAGCCCTCGTCATCCTGGGCCACATTAGGGCTGTGCTGTGGGAGGAAAGCCCTCTGGCTGTGAGGGAGGCGGTCCTGCATGCATGTAGGTCACGGCCAGGCCCTCTGCCTGGGGGGCTTCCTCACCAGCTGCAGGAAGGAGAGGGTCTCCTCCTCATGGGTCAGCTTCTGGGGACTTCGGCACCGGATGCGCACCCAGCGTCGCCGCCTGATGGAGTAGTAGGTCTTCTCCACAGAGTTCCATGCTTGCGGCAGGCTAGCAGGCAGCACCCCTACTCCATATTCCCAGCCTGTGGGAGGTAGGACCACAATCTCACACCTGGAGAGGCTATAGGATGGGCCCTGGAAGGACAGCTAACAGGGCAGTGATGTTCCTTAAGTCTCTCTGACCTTGAGGGCTGCTTTGCATAAAGAATTGTTCATGTTTTGGCACATTTGGGTCACATAACAGGTGAGAAACAGTGATTGGATCTTAACCCCGATCTTCCTGTGCATCTGCCCCAGAGCTGCTGTGAGTGAACTGGATCTGCATTCAGAGGCGGCTGTGAAGCTTTTCTCCAGGCCAGCATCCTCCTCCCCAAGGCACATACTATCCTAGCTCAAGTCAGAGACCTGCCATGAAGGTTTGAGGGGTGGCTGGGGGGAGTCTCCCTAGGAGTTCAGGCTATCGCTATCCAAAAGCTTGCCTCCTCGGAGGCTTTTGGAAGAATGAATATCCTGGCCTGGCGTCACAGCTCAGCGGAGGCTTTTGGTCCTTTTAGCTCCATCCTGTGACCCCAAGACTAACCCTCATTGTCCACTGCGTGGTTCAGTTCCACATTCCAGTTCTTCTGAATGTACCAGCCTCGGGGGCACTTCATGTTTTCCCGGGCATCTATGCTGTTTCCATCCTGTGGGCAGACAGAGAGGGAGAGATGAGGGACATGTGCACTGGAACAAGGCCTATCTTGGCCTCATACACCTTCACTCTCCCTCATCTGTGCATCTCCTGGGTAGTCAGCAGCTTCCAAACAGATAGGACCCAGCCCATTGAGCAAGACAGACTCTTCTGCCACCCATAATATGTTTTTACTGGTCTTTTTCTTTTTTTTTAAAATTTAGGTTGTTTATTTTTCATTTATTGAACTTTAAGATAAGCTTTATTTTAAAAGCAACTTTAAATAAGCCACTATAAAGAGTGTCATTCACCATAAATAAGAGCTAAATAGGAAATGTAATAATTACTCTAAAAATAATATGACAATTCTAGTTAAAAGCTGCAGTCTGTCCAAGTCTTAATTGAGCTATTTCTTGTTCTCTCCTTGTTAAATGCTGAAAGGTGGATATTAGCATGTGCTGAGTCCGAGAGGTTTTCAAAGTTAATGTATTTGACTGCTAGCCAAAAGGCCGGAGGCTTGAATCCACCCAAAGGCTGCTCAGAAGAAACACCTACCGACCTGCTTAGAAAATACAAGACAGTGAAGACTCGTGGAGTGCCCTACTCTGACACATGCAGGGTCCGAAGCGACTGGTCAGCAATGAGTAGTCAGTATGTGCTGTGCTGTCCAGCATGTGTGGCCACCAACAGCCTGGGCTATTTAAGTCAATTAGAATTCCAAACTGGTTGTGTGAGTCTGTTACTGGACAAATAATGGGTCCCTTGCCTTCAATCACAAAGCCAGATATACGACAAAACATGTTGCTTATTCATATGCTTTATGTACAGATCAGGAAGACACTCAGCCCTTTAAGACTGCCTTGCCATTCCATGTGGTCATACCTTGTTGTTGTTATGTGCCATCCAGTCAAGACATTTGCAACACAGTAACTCTGAATCCTGCCCTATCCTGAGCCAATCTCACCATCTCCAACAATACCTGTCCCCAGTACCGCAGTTACTGAATCAATCCATTGCATCCAGGGTCTTTCTCTCCTATGTTGTCCCTCCACCTTTCCAAGCAAGATGTTCCTCTCCAAGGACTGGCCTTCCTGGCAACATGCCTAAAGTATATCATACAGAGGTTTAAAATCTGTAGTCAGCTATTCTGCTTGACACATTGTCCTGATAGTTCAGAGTAACAGGCTCCATTTGGGAAGGACAGTTAACATTACTGAGAAAACAGTACCCAGCTTCTACAAGATGCCTATATTTCTACAAACAAGGTCCCAGCTTAAGCAACTTTAGTTTTACAAACAGTGCCCAGTTCAAACAATATTAACCCATATGATACCTTGCAATCTCTCTCCCCAATGTTAAAGAGTTTTCTTATTTTGGGAAGTGATGTACCTTTTGGAAACAAATTGTATTTTTTTTTCTCTCAATACTGGATTATCCCTTTACATTTTCAAACAGTAACATTTGCCCAGGATATGAAATGATAGTCTAAGGCTGGGGTTCTAAATGGTCCTGCACAAAACTATCTACTACATCAGATCAGCTAATTTGCAAAAAACCAAACACAGATCTAGAGAGTTGGGGACAAACAAGATGCTGAACTTCATTCCAGAGAAGTTAACCAGTAACATAAGATAGCATTCAAACAACAGGATGCTAAATCTTATTACAGAGGAGTTAACCTGTAATGAAGCAAAAATTCAAGCACAGGGCAAACCTTCAGCTTCATGTAACCCTATTACTTTGTGTCAATGAGAATCAGCCTTGAGGTTTATTAATGCTGTGTTCAGGTTGACTCTGCCTGGTGGCATGTTCTTCAGAGTAGAGCTGAGCTTCAGAGGACTCACATTAACTGACTTCTGCATCAAAGCCAGGGGCATTTGAACTGACAATCTTTTGGTTAAGGAAACCATTTGCACCACCCAGAGACCTCTAAGTAAGACAGTAACAAAAAGGGAAAGGTTTGCTACTCAGTCTCACTGCCACAGCTGACCTGTACTCCTGGATGGTGCCGAGGAACCTTTGTGATGCAGTGGATTAAACTTTGGCTTGCCAACCAAAAGAAAAACTGGCAGTTCTGATCCACTTGTTGCCCCTTGGGAGGATCAGCCAGGCTGCTTCCACAAAAATCCATGGCCTCAGGGACCCTGAGGAGGAATCCTGCTCTGTGTGATAAGTCATGAGCAGTTGGAAGTGATAGCCGTGGGTATCTGTTTGTTTTGCACAGTACAGACAGAACATTTTCATTATTGCTGGAGGGGCTGCTGAACAGTGCTGAGTTAGACCAGTCCCAATTGAGCTGCCCTCCTTGAGGATCGGGACCACCTCTGAAAGAGTCTTGAGAAGTGAAGGTGTATCTTTTGTTGTTCCCTGCAGTCTTAAGGCATCTAAGGAGTTTTGGGTGCCTGGTGGTCAGGAGCTGCATAGCCAGCCTTAAGGCACGTAGGGGCAGTTATGAGTTGGCACTTGGGTACAGCCAAATCACCATCGTGGGATTCAGCCATTAGCACAAGCATAGGGAGCAGGGCTCAGATTGTACCTGCTAGTGCGGGGCATGTTCCACTCCCGAGAGCCCAGCTTGCCCACCTCACACATGTGCTGCAGGGGCTCACCACGTCTGTGTTTGGGATGGCCGCAGGCACCCAGGCTCCTGTCACGTCTCGCCACTCGTTCTCATACACCTCCTCCAGCACCTGATTCCTGTTGATGTCTGTGTCCAGAAGGAGCCTGAGGAGAGACCACAGGTTTCCTGGACACCTTCCTGGACTTCCAGGCTCCAGAGTCTTCTGTTGGCCATGTACTTTCTTCTCACTCTGCCCAGGCAAGGCCTGGCATACAGATAGGTTAGTGGGCAAGGCCCTGTGTTTGGGGCCCAAGGACGAGACTGGGGGTGCCCAGATGAGCTGACAAATATGCATCCCTCAGGGTGTCTGTTTTATCTGTGCCCACCTTTCCCAGGATGGGGAGGGAAACCCACACGGATACAGGCTCGGGACAGAATCCCCAGCTCTACCTTCTCTGAGGCTCCACTATCCACTTCCCCTGCCATTGCCATCCTGGAGGCACCCGAAAATTCTCCTTGGTGGGGGCTGTGTGTCCTTTGACATCTGAGAAATTGGGGCAGTTGTACAGCGCATGCGGCCCCCACTGGTCCTTGTATTTGGCCTGGTTCTCATACTGGGGGAGGGAAGAACATCAGTGCCATGGCCTCAAATGCATGGAGGGACATTGCACCTCACCCTGGCCCAACTCTGGGTGTGGGTGCCTTCTGGCAATGGGCCAGGCACAAAGGGACCCTGTGATCCCTGGCGGTGGGCCAGGCCTTTCATTACCAGGGAGGGGGCAGGAAAGGAGGAAGTCCTGCTGAGACAAACCTTGAGAAGCCCCTGTGTTGTCTGTCCTGGGGGAGCCTGCAGACATCTCAGTCATAGCACTCCACCCACCCCACCCCAGCTGAAGTATTGCCTCAATACCCTTTATTTCCCCCTCAGATGATTCATTCTTATTTGTTGGGTGTTACTAAAAAAAAATTATTGAGATTTTTTTTAACCTTGGATTTCCATTAATTCATTATTGCATATTTTCCTCCCTACCCCGCTCTGGTGGCCTAGTGGCAAGAAGCTACGATGAAATCCTAAAGGCATGTGGTTCAAGGCTACCAGACCCTCTGTGGGAGAAGGTTGGGCTATCTCCTCCCATGTGATTAACTGCCTCTGAAAACTCATCATCAACTATGGGTCAGTTCCCACCCAATGGTAAAAACAACAAACACCCTCCCTCCCGTTTGCTTTCCTTTAAAAAAAAATCTTTCATTGTTGCACAATTTCCTCCCTCTCCCTGCCCCCTAGTCCACTTTGCTATGCACCTCTTGTTCTGGACTGTTGTCATACAAATAAATAATACCTAATTATATATTCCTCCCCCCCCCATATATTCCTTTTAAACAGTTCTTTCCCTCATATGTTTAAGAGAGAAGCTATGGTATGGTCACACAATGGAATACTATGCAGCACTGAAAAACAAGGGACTCATAGAATATGGTACAAAATGGATGACCCTAGAGGACATTATGCTGAGTGAAATATCTCAATCACAAAAGGACAAATACTATATAATGTCACTGTTATAAAACAGTACTGACATGGGGGTTGGGAGAAAACTAAGAAAAGAGGGAATAAATAATGTAAACAAAACCCTTTTTAAAGCCAGAGCTCAGAACCACTGTCAGTCTGCAAGACTCCATTTATCCAGCACTCCATGTAGGCCAAATTCAATATAGGGATTCTCACTGCCTCTCTAATCTTCATACCCTGTCTCCCAGGGGAGGAGGAATCACTTGAGGTCAGCTCTGCCCCCAGGTGCTCAGCCAGCAAAAGGAAGAGACTAGTGGAAGCCTGTGACCTACCTGTAGCCCCCCTCGCTGCAGACCCAGAAAACATCCCAGGCTGGACCCGCCTGTGCTCTCTTAGTCTTTTTTTCTGCATTCCCCTTGCTGGGCAAGAAGTCCCTGCCCCCTTCTCCTGATCCTAAATACCACCCCACCTCTACATTCCCAAGCCCTATATGAAACTTTTAAAATGTATAAATATCTTCCAAATGATCACATTTGAAATGCTGTTACTGAAAACTTGTTTTCTATCAACCTTTAGACCCCCTCTCTGGAGTCACACCCTCCCCTGGCCTTCCAGCAAGGTTGTCTTTCCTGATTCTATTTCTTGAACAGTCTGGCCCATCCTGGGCCCCAGGATTTATAATGTGTTGGGTCATTGCCTCAGTTTCCACTCTCCTGCATCCCTGGGAGCAAAGACTGAAGCCACCATCAGGGTGTGGGAACTGGAGAAATGTCGATCTGCACCTGCCTCAGAGGGAGTGACCAAACCTAGGGAGCTACCCTCGCACTTGCCAGTGGGACTTATCGAGGGGTCCTGAGCTGGCCACAGCTGAGAATGTGCCATCAGACCCCCTTCTGCAGTAATGCTTCTTTTCCTTTTCAGTGCTAGAGGTTGTTATTGCTGCTTCAACCTTCCTCCTACTGTTCCACCCCCTGTGAAGCCATTCTCTGTCCATTGCTAGGTCTATCATGCCTGCCCCTGCCTGCCATGTGCCCATTATAGTGTTCTCTGTGCCCAGTGCCCACCCAAGCTCACCATCTCTGCATACACGGCCAACTCGCCATGGCGAAGCAGCTGAAGATCCTTGCTGTCTTCCACGTTGCCAAGCCACATGCAGACCCGGAGGTGACCTGGGAGCGTGTTCTGCCCTTCTCCTTCTGGGTACTGAGGCAGAAGCAGGGCCATCTGCCAGGGACAGCCAGTCTCCCAGGGGTGGGGTATAGGTGAGGAAGGAGGCTCATATCGGGAATGGGTCACCCTGAGCCCTGGGGAACAGAGGACCTCACACTGTGCTGGATGCTGGAGCTAATAAGTGACTTTATACAGAGTTCTTGCCTTCAAGACACCCATGGTTCAGAGTGGGGGGCAACGTACAAATGGCAATGGCAAAGCTCTATAACCCTGCACATGACAGGTTGGAGAGCAGGGAGTGGATGGGCAACATTGCCTAGACATTTAGAGGGCTTCAGCACTATCAGATTTAATGCCAGCATCCCTTGTACATCGGCATGGTGCTACCCTAAGTGTGTGTCATAGATTTTACACTCTCCTGAAGTAGGCAGCATGGTCACTTTATAGAAGTGCAGACTGAGGCTTGGACAAGTTCAGGAATTGGCCTCTGGTCACACAAGCCAGTGAGCAGCAGAGCCTGGGGTCAAGTCTCAGTGGTTCATGGGCCTGGGAAGAACATTCCTTGTGGTGGGAAGAGCAGGGGGCAGTGTAGAGTAGCTGGGCTTAAGATGGTATGGGCCAGAGAGGGAGGACACAAGGAGGGGTGGTTAGGGGCCAGATCAGCGAGGCTGGCCTTTCTCCAGGGAACTTTGAAGGGAGGGAGTGGAATAAACCATCTGCCTCAAGAATATTGTTGGGCAGAAGGGTGGTAATGTGATGTGATGTTCAGTTAAATTGACTTGCAGAGATCTGATTGACTGGTACCCAAACCTTCTGGACTATTAAATACATTGAGTGTTATCTAATTATGGTTTAGGGGAGAAGTGACAAAGGACTAGGCTGATGGTGGCCCTGAAGATGATGGGAAATGAAGGCCATGCATGAGAGAGATCCTTTGATGTTTCCTGTATGTTACAATGAGCCCTGTGGCTCATCTGTGGAGAGCTGCGTGGAAAGGCCACACCTCTAACAGTTAGAATCCACCAGATGCTCTGTGGGAGAAAGATGGGCAGTCTCCTCCTATTGGAATTATAGCCTCAGAAGAAAACCCACTGGAAGGTCAGCTATGATGACCCAGAAGCAAAGGCTTTGATAAGTTAATAGCCACCGGTTCCTGCCTTCCTCTAAAGCTAGGTAAGGCCTTGGATAAAGGACCATGGAGAAGGGAAGTGGGGTATGCCCTCGGGAACTTCCGCCAGAAGTGCTCTGGGACTTTAAGGTGCTCCTGGAGGGTGTTTTGGGCCCCTCTTCTCTTGAGGACTGAGGTGACCTGAGAGCCCCTTTCTGTCCTACCTGTAAGAGGAGTGTCTGCGTCTTCCCACAGAATCTGCCAGACTGCAGAGGCCCAGCCCGAGAGAAGAGGATGGTGTGGGCGGGCACCTGTGCGTAGGCCACGTGCTGGTCATTGGCCATCAGCCAGATCATCACGTCTGGGAGGCTCGTCTGGGGCTGCAGAGCCACGAGCTTGTAAGGCCCACCCGGCTGCCTCAGCGCCCCCCCCCTCCTCCCTGCGGTGCCCAGACAGAGCCCACCTCAGAGAGTACGGAGTTGAGACGGTACAACCAGCCCTCCACGGTGGTCACCATGTCCTTGGGCTCAGCTTCTTGGGCCTGTTGGACCAGTTCCTGCAGGAGGAGCCTGCGAAGCTCCCCTCTCTTCTTATCCAGGTCTGTGGCTTTGGGCTGGTTGACCAGGCAGGGCAGAGGGCGCCTGGGGCCAGAGAGGAGACTGCACCTCACTTAAGTGTCATAGCCCCCCAGCCCTCCAGCAAGGCCAGAGTCTTTCCTCACCCTGAAATGCCACTCTGCTGCCCTTCCCCACTCCTGTTAGGAAGTTCTGTTCCCTGGGGTCTGGCCTCATCTCTGCTCTCTTTCCAGCCTGGCTCCTGGGCCTCCATGGGGAGAAGAGTGTGCTGTGAGATTGGAGTGGAGGAGGCACTAGAATGGGGAGTATGGATATGGAGAGGGCTTTTGACAGGTAGCTACCAAGAGGAGGACATTTGAGACATAAATGTGCACAGACTGGCCATTAGGGCTTGTCTGGATGACAAGGAGAGATACCATTTTGTGGCGGCAATGTGGGGAGAGGTCAGCGCCATTTTCTGGAAGAATCCGAATGTCAGGGGAAGTGATTCTGCTGTTGGCTGCCATTTTCAGCCTGCAGACCTTGAACAGAGCTTCTGTATCTAGTGGAAGAGGGGTTCTGTAGGTCCTAATCTGAACTCTCTGCCCTCCTTGCTGGATCTGAACCCCAAGCCCTGGCCCCTCCTACTGGCAGTCCTCCATCAACTCCTTCAGCAGCTTCTCCCAGTGCAGGAGCAGGGCTGGGTCCTTCATGTTCCGGATGGACTTCAGGACTTCTAGATTGGTTTTCTGCTCAGTAAGAGAGGTGGTGGGGAGAGCTGGCGTCAGCATGGAGCTCACTGGGACAGCTACTCGGATTAACTGTTGGACTGTTCCTACCCCACAGGAGTAATGGGTGACAGAAAGGAGCTCCATCTCAACCCTAACTCCCCACCAAAGCTGTGGGACCAGAGGCAGGTAGGATCAGCTTGCTCTCCTGACTGAAACCCACTGAGTGACTTCTCTAAGGGTACTTGATAGACACCTAAGACCCTTCATGCCCTGCTGCCTTCCAAATCTACTGTTCTTATCCCATGTCACTTTTATACCCTCCCCCCAACTTAAAAAAAAAACAAAAACTGGGATATCACCATGACCTTGTACATGCTAACAGTTCCTCTTTACCCTGTACCACAAATTCCTACACATTGGGATATCACCATGACCTTGTACATGCTAACAGTTACCCTTTTTACCCTGTACCACAAATTCCTACACATTCTTCAGGACCTTCCAGTGTCACTGTTTTTGTGGACACTTCCTTTGATCATCCTTTTTGGACTTCTCTTTTCAAAAGTCTTTGGCCCTTGGCTTTTCGTAGCTCTCTCCATCACAGCTTTAGTAGCCTTTCACAGCATGTGAGGACAGGACCGTATTCGTCTATCTTTCTCTCTTAAGTGCTTGTCACTGTGCCTGGCACCTCTCAATTATGGGATGCATGACTGAGCCATGTGGCTGTTGACTCAGTTTCTCAACTTCCCATCAATTACCTGAACCTTTATTGGCATCATCACTTACCAGGCGGTTCGCAGTGAAGTGGAGGAGGTTGAGACAGTTTATGCGGAAGCTCACATCCTCCCAGTAAGAGGTCACGGCCACAACGGGCTTGGTGTTATACCAGGGCACATAATGGTAGATGGTCCCTGAGACACAGAGATGGGGAGGTTATGGATTGAATTGTGTTCTCTGCCATAAAAAGGGTCAACGTGTAACGGCCAAGACATTCAGTAGTTTGGCAGTTAGGTACTGATATAATGTGCAAGTCATGCAGTGGTATAACCATCCCGTGTGAAGTGACCTGATGTGTGAGCCAAGCAGTTGTATGGAGATGAGGCTGGGAGGCAGCACTCTTAATCAAGTTGCAGTCCTGATCCAGTGTAAGGGGAGTTTCTTGAGGATGTAACTTATTTCACCTTGTATCTTTTTTTTTACTTTTAGGAATTTTTTTTTTTTAAGTAACCAGAGAGTAAATTTATTCTGGCATCTCTACAGTAAACTTTAACCTCACTGTTATCTTCCCCCTAAATACATGATGATTCTGTGCACTTTTAATGGAAATATACTTGTAGATTTTTTTTTATTCCATTCATTCATTGTTGCACCCTTCTCCCCACCC